GTCTCTCCTTACACCCCCAGCCTTTACCATGCTCTTCCTCCTCTTACAATCCTTTCTCCCGCTGTTTACACAGAGCCTACCCTTCTTTTAAAATTCATGATTTATTTATTAACCGTATTTTTCTTCTGCTTACAAATACAAAAGAAGGGGCTGCTTCCCCAGCCCTCTTGCTGGGGAAGACCTTGGGCAAAGTATGGTAAAAATTTTCAAACATAGCAGCATGGAAAGAAGAAAAGCCCTTATGCCAATGACCCTCCCTCAAAATAACAAAAGGTAATAATACCCTGATGCGCTTAAGTTTGGGTTTTTGAAATCGGTCTATAAATAAATTTTAAAAATATATATTTTGAAACAAAAATATAGTTAGTTGATCCATATATTTTTTGTCACGTCCCCACCACCCCTACCCCTCTACTCCTCACCCTCCCACCCCCGTGAACAGTTCTGTGCCTGAACCTACGTGGGCCCTGTCGTACGCCGTGATTTGGAGACATACCATAGTCTTTGTCATTATGGTATTTTGCTGCATTGAATTCATTTAATGGATTCCTCACAGGTCAGTGTTCAGGGATTGTCTAATTTTTCAGTTGCCAACATCACTGCAGTTACCATCTTTGCACAGACATCCCAGTGCATTTGAATGGCTATAGGATATGTCCTAAAAGCAGGGATGCTGGACACAGTATGAGCACTTTCCGTTTTGCCCATATTGCCAATGTGACCCTCAAAATGGGTTACAAATGAACTCTGCCACCAATATCTTGTGAGTGGCTGTCTCTCCATACTCACTGCCACCCCTCTCCTGCAGCCTCGCCACCTCTGGGCTTTACCTTTTAACGCTTTGCCAAACAGATCGGTAAAAGCATCTTTGTAGCATTTCTGTCTCCTTAATGATCAGCGAGGTTAATCAGTTTAGGACCGTTCTTCCAAGGGCCACATCATGACCTTTGACCATTTTTCCTTTTTTTCTCCTACTAAGTACTTAAAAACAACAACAACAACAAAAACCCTATAAGTAAGGCATCAGCATGACTTGAAAATGCAGCAGTGTGGAAGGGTGTGAAATAGCAGTATCCCAGGATGGGCACGGCGCTCCCGAGGCTCTAACTGTGGCCTGAGCTGGGAGCGCACCTGTCCCTGCGGGGAGTGCACAGCCAGGCCCCATGGGCAGCGCTCTAAGTCAGCTGTGATGAGTCCCAACGTCACAGCTAACTCTTGGTGACACTCTGTGTAAGTAGCTGCGGCTCTTGGTTTTACGTAGTTGAAAGAGGAGAGAATGGTGCCAACCTCAGGGGTCCCTTGTGTGGCCCAAACGAGACTGTGTACAAATAAAACGAGGCTTCTATAAACTGTGAGTCCTGAACATTGATGCCCCAAATCCCACCCATGGGTGATAGCCCTCCTGGCCTGCAGACACTAAATGCAGGACCCCACCCCCCATACACAGGGGGGCACGCTTTTGTGAATTGTTCCGTGTGCAATACAGCGGTTGAGAGCAGGGTCCCTGGAACTGGAAAGAAGAGCCGGGTTCAGAGTGCTCAGTGGCTGTGTGACTCTAGGCAGATGCTTTAACCCCTCTGAGCCACAGTGTCCTTCTAGAGGACCATCACTGCAAGTCGCGTCACTGCTTCTCAGTTAATTGTGAGGAGTTAGTGAGCTGTGTGAAAGGCTGCTGCAGGGTTGGCCCATCGGTGTTGGTTACGTTATCATCCTGATAAATTATTAGCAACACTGGCTTTTTTTTTTTTTATGATAGGCACATAGTGAGAGAGAGAGAGAGAGGCAGAGACACAGGCAGAGGGTGAAGCAGGCTCCATGCACCGGGAGTCCGACGTGGGATTCGATCCCGGGTCTCCAGGATCGCGCCCTGGGCCAAAGGCAGGCGCCAAACCGCTGCGCCACCCGGGGATCCTAGCAACACTGGCTTTAACCGCGATGGCATCCTCTCTGTGCCCCCCATCCAGAGCTTGTTGAGAGCCGGCTTACAGAGAACTGGTCCCCGGCAGCCCCCTCCCCACCTTCCCTTCCCTCTCCCTCTGTCTGTGTCGAACGGAGTCAGTGTCTCCTGTTCCACCAACCCCATAGTCCTTCGGGTGTTCATCCTGCTTCCTTGTTCTGACCCCAAACACCTGTGGGCTGTGAAGGAGGCATGATTTGGAGAGTTCTGTTGTCTTTTCATGGGTGTCTGCAGCGATGGCAGGAATCCCACCTTCAAAAAATAAATAAATAAATAAATAAATAAAAGGAATCCCACCTTCGTGGAAAGCCTTCCATTGGGGTTGACGTTTGGTTTTCGTGTGATGAACGGCTCTGGGCACTCAGCTATGAGATACGGCACGTGGTGCCCCCTCTGCCCTCTTGCTGGGGAAGACCTTGGGCAAAGTATTCAGTGGCTCTGTGTCTCATCTGGGAAATGGGGCATAATGGTACTGACCACATAGGGGTCGGGTCAGTGAGATAGAGGAGCCAGCCCAGCCCGGCAACAGCGAGGGTGCACTATGCACCAGCAATAAGGAGTCTTGCCTCGCAGGGGAGCAGTCTCCACCTCCCTAGTAGATGCTCCTTCCATAGCAGTTCCTTCCTTTGCCTTCTGATGCCTCAGAGCCACCCTCCACCCTTGACCTCTTGGGTGGATCAGATGATCTTATCAGTGCAGGAATAGGCGGAGAGGAGGGTGGGGGGCGGTGCTCACGTTGGACCCCCGGGATCCCCCTTGGAGGATCCATCTGGCAGCAGCTCTTCAGCAGGCAGGGCAGCTCCGGAGGCAGAGGAGCCAAAGGCACTCAGGCCTTCAGAGAAGAATATTGGAGTTGGTGCAGGGTGGGGGACGGTGGTGAGGTGTTCTGGAAGGAAATGAAGGAAAGGGAAGGGGAGGGGAGACGGCTGGAGAAGTGTGGCCACGGAATCACAGAATGGTTTGTCACCTGGCTTTCCTGATAGGCCTTTGGGCTCATCATCTTCTGGACTCTGGTGTCCCAGTGTGTAGAATGGGAGTGCAAACATTAGGGGGCAAGGAGATCCGAAAGAGGGTGCTGGGGCCATCGTGCAGGATTGCTGCTGAGGAGGGAGCTGCTCCTACAGGCAAGCTGGCCGCTCCTCAGACGATGGACTCAGGGCCTTTGCACTGGCTGTTCCCTCTCCTCCCAACTCCCCTCTTCCAGATAGGAGCATTTTTTTTTTTTGCTTCCTTGGGTCTTCGCTCATGCGTCATGCTCACAGTGAGTGCTTCCCCGGGGTACACTAATGCTGTGGACACACGTCCCTCATGCCCCTCCTCTACTTTATTTTCCTCTCTAGCCTGTGCCCCACCGTGTACACTCATTACTTGCTTGTGTGTTGTGCTGTCTCCCCCACCATCATATTGTTATCTATTGCCATATGACACATTTCCTAGAAACTTAGTTTAAAACGACACACCTTTAACTATACCTCACAGTTGTGTGAGTGAGGGGTGCTCAGGCTTGGCTCAGCAGCTAGCTTTTTTGGTTTCATTTACTGACGATGGAGGTCGCTCTGTGGTCCTCAGCTTGGGGGCTGGGAGGGGACATCCTGATGGCTTTGCTCACCTGTCTGCTGCCCTATCGCGGAGAGAGGAAGGCCAGGCTCTGCGGGCCTGGAGCTCCGACCCCGGGCTCTCCAGCATGGCTGGGGTCAGACTTTTTCCAGGAAGGCCCAGGGCTCCTGGACTGAGGGCTGTACGAAGCACAAGTGGAAGCTGCACGACTTCTTTTGATGTAGACTCAGAATATCACCTCTGCCTCCTTCTACTAATCAAACAAGTCGTGTGGCCAGCCTGGACTCATGGGAAGGGGATAGATGGCCCCCTCTCCGTGGCAGGACTGTCCAGGAACTTGTAGCCTTCTTAACGGGCCTCTATAAGGGTAGGGTCTTTGGAGTGGTTTGTTCACTGCCATAGTCCAAGTGCATGGCACATACTAGGTGCTCAATAAATGCACACTGACTGCGTGAGTAATCTTTAAATGTAATCTTTATAGTCTATGCCAAGCCCACCTCTGCCAGAAAGCCCTCCAAGTCCTCCCCAGGCTATGGGATCCTCTCCTACCTCAGCCTCCACCTGCCACCTGCCACCTGCCCTTCCTTCTCTCTGGGCCTCGGGCTCCCTCCTCCTCAGTAGACGACTCTGGAAACCAGGCCTTGAGCTCTCTGAGCATAAGCCTAGGCTCTTTCATGCAGGGAGGATTCAGTTAGGAGTTGCCAACTGTATGCAGGGTATGGTCACACTTTATATATGTATTGGGTCGTGAATCAGAACCGCTGCCGAGGTAAGGGTTGCTACCCCATTTTACAGATGAGGATGCTGAGGCCCAGGGAAGCTGAATCACTTGCCTCAGGGCACACAGCCAGTCCTGCCTGAGTCTAGCCTGGAGTCTCCACAGAAGTGGGCGCTCAGTGTCTCGCTACGTATATGGAAAATGAGGCGCCCGCGGCTTCCCCTTGCACAGTTCGGGGGACCACGCAAGGTGGGGACTGGGGCTCTCGCTTCTCTCTCCCCTGGAGGCCACGGTTACCACCGCTGAGATGCTCTGACAAGGGAGCTGGGTTTAATATTCATGAACCAGCCAGGCATGAGTGATTAGCCCACTGTGTGTAGGAGGAGGAGGAGGAATAATTGAATAAGGTATTTACATAACAAGTTAATGCTGTGTCTGCGGGGCTCCTTCGCAGGACCTCCCCACCCCCAGCCCTGTTCTCACCCACCCTGGGCTTTTTCTTGCCTTGGCCGTCTGAGGGGGCTATGCCCTGTCTCCGCACCCCTTGGTAACCGGTAACCGGGGGTGACATCAAAATCATCAGTAATGTTATTAAAGAAAGAAAATTAGAGGTTCTGGAAGAGGCCAGTACTAGACTGGTTGGCAGCCTGCGTAGGGGGCTGGACCCCCAAACAAGCAAGCAAGCAAGCAAGCAAGCCTCTCTGCAGGTTCTGAGAGCTGATAAGGTGAGGCCGAGAGGCCCACAGGTGGATGATAGGGTTTGGCACCTGCGCTGCCCGCCGCGAGCCCCTAGGAGCCCTTGGGTGCACCCCACCCCATTTCAGGGCGTGTCTCCTTCTCTGTAGCATGCAGGGCGCCCACATGACCCTCTGGGGTCCAGAACTCTGTTCCAGCCGCCCCGCGATGACAGCAGGCAGAAAGAGGAGTCAGGGCACTATGCCACTGGAAAGAGAATTCCTCTTTTGTGGCTGGAAGGGTGAGGTAAGTCACGGCTCCCACGCCTACCTGGGAGCGGCCTTCGGGATGACCCCCGGTCCGCGCTCACTTGGGGTTCTGGAAGCGAGGTTATTAGCTCATAATCACCTTGTTCGCGGCTGGCTGGGAGGTGTGCAGCGCGTCTGACCCCGGGCAAGGGGAACCCGGCCAAGTGCTCTGGCTGCAGTTAAAAGGGTTCACCACCCTCTCCCTGCAGGTGAACTGCAAAGACTGGCTGGGGATTTTCAAAGGGAGTAGGAGGCCTTAACCCCCGGAGCGCCAGCCCTGCTGCCCACTGAAAAGGCAATTCAGGGACCTGCAGTTTCCAGGTCCCTGGGACGGTGGACAGCGCCCCGCGAGGGACAGAGGGTGTGGCTCTCCTTGCCCTGGGGGGGGGGGCAGAGGGCCGACGTGGGCAGGCTGCCCATTCGGTGGCTCATGGGAACACGGGCGGTTTGCATGACTTGCCTGAGCCTCAGGTCCCTTGTCTGTATCTGTAGAACGGGGAGGATCATGGTGCTCCCCTCACAGGGCTCAGGTAAGGGCTGAGCTGCTGCATGGACCGTTCCTGGGCTGCTTCTAGAAAGATCGTGGGGTATAACAGGAAGACTGAGTTCTAGGCCCTCCTCAATGACTAAGTTACTGAGAGAGCTTGAGGAGTCTCACGGCTCTGAGCTTTAGTTTGCTCAGCCCAAGTGGGGTACTGAGCCCCGTGTGAGGAGCTGGCTGGGAGGATGAAGGACATGCGTGCCATATAGGAGATGAGCAGATTCAGTGCCTGGCACTCAGTAGGCGCTCAGGAGCACCTGCTCCCTACCCATCACAGGAGAGATCGCACAGCCAGGAAGTGGCTGCCCACGTCTCCAAACCTCTCAGAGCCCCTCACATTCCTTTATGTTCCTCATCTATAAAACATGGAGACGACAACACCTTGCTGCAAAGTAGACGTGTGTGCTCCCAAGCTCCAGGCGTGGGATGAAAATGTGATGGGTTCATCCTACCCCCTTCAGGTCATTCAGTGCCTACTTGCTCCTTCCCAGCCATGAACCCCCATTTATGACTGCTGTCACTTGTCATGGTGCCATGTATCCCTCTGCATCTTGACCCCTCTCGTCCTGGGCTGGTCCGAGGCTCAGCCCGACCCCAACTTAGGACTCGGCTGGACTGCCCCGGGCCACCCAGTCCCTGCCCATCAGCACTTCAGGCTGCCTGGAGAACTGCCAGGGACAAAGGAAAGAAGAGAAAATGAGGAAGGATGTGGCTTCCATGGACCCCGAGTTGGGGAGGCCCTGAGGGAGAGAAGCCGGAGCGTGGACCGCACTGCGCTGGGGCTGAACGCGGTCTCTGCTCCTGGCCGGATGCCTGTGAGCCTCAGCGTGCTCCTCTGGACAGTGGGGCTCACCCTTCATTTTTAGGGTTGCTATGGAGATAAAGTGAGGTGGAGTTTGCAGGTGTCTGCCGTTCAGCAGATGGTCCACCTCTGCAACTGGGCATCCTTGTTACTGAATGTGCATTTTGCTGCTCCTGACAACTGACTGAGGGGACCTGGGGCTTTGGTTTGCTTTGGCCATTTCCCAGGAGGGGTTGTTTATTTATTTATGTATTTAAATGAAGAGACCTTTGGAACCCTTGGGGAGCCCGCCCCCCAGCCCTGCCTTCAGGCACACCTGCCCCCTCTCACCCCGGGAGGCCTCTCCGTGGCAACCCTAAGGCCTGCACATGCCCCAGCGCCCATCCCTTGGGCAGTGTCCTCTTGGGGCTTCAGACCAAAGGGGGTCAGCCCCGCCCCTGGCTGCCTCAGAGGGAGAGGGGGTGCAGGCAGGGGCAGGGCCAGCAGAGCCCTGGAGGGAGGTGGGTGAGAGCAAAGGGAAGGGGGCCCTGGGAGGGAGACGGCTCATCTAAAATGGGGAAACTAATGAAGAAATCTCCATCTAATTAGACAGGCTGCAGTTTTAATCAGAGTTTCCTTGGCGAAACCTGTTTGCATGTTTTCTGTCATTCAGCCAATGTGTTAATTAGGCAAATAGTATTAATAACGATATTCACATCGGGAAAGTTAAGAGGCGAGGGACAGGTGGAGGTGACATTTTGGGAGCCGTGGAGGGGCTTGGCTTTGCAGGTGGCGGGAGAGGGTGGAAAGAAGGTGGCCGGTGGCCCCCAGGGAGGGTGCCCCAGGGGAGGCTTAACCCAGGTGACCAGAAGGCTGTGTGCACGGGGCGGGCGGGGCAGGTACTGCTTCCCGGTCCAACCGCCTGCACTGCCCACCCACGCAGGACCCGGGGTCCTCGAGGCTCCTCCCATCACAGCCTGTGCCCCCCCTCCCCCGCCCTGGCACAGTCTCAGCAGTCCGGCATCAGGACAAGGGGAGGCTCCTGCAGGTCCACCTTGCCTCCCCTCGGAAGGAAGCCTGTCCACAGCCAACATGACACCTGGCCGCCCCCGCCCCCCCCCAGCATCCCAGACCCCACTGCACACCCTCGGGACTGGGTTCCTAGGAGGGAGCGCTCTCCTACCTCGAAATCGTGTATAGAGAAGGAACCTTAGAAATCAGCCAGCAAGCCTCCTTCCCCCGGTACGGGGAGCCCTTCCGTGACATCCCCACCGGTGTCCGCTTAGATGCACCCTGTGATGGGGCGCTCACACCTGCTGACGCCACCTGAGCAGCCGGCCATCTGGGCTCCTCTTTGTTTGGGGTAAAATACTCCCGGTTGCAATGTTTAGTCCATGGACCCAGCTCGGCCCCCTGAAATGCACAAAAGCCCAGGCTCTCTCCTGCAGGATCTTCTCTCCGGGATCTGCAGCCGCAGCCTCCGGGCAGGTCCGGGCACACCTGGTGCTGCCTCTTTGGACGCTCCTGAGCACCTACTGAGTGCCAGACACTGAATCTGCTCATCTCCTATATGGCGTGCATGCCCTTCATCCTCCCAGCCAGCTCCTCACACGGGGCTCAGTACCCCACTTCCAGAGTCCCTGACTCTGAGGGCACAGGGATTCCGAGGGTGGTGGCTGGAAGGGTGGGATTCAGCTCAGGACAAGAAGAGAGCTTCTAACCCCAGTAGATGGGCTGCCCCAGGAGGGGGTGAGCTCTTCGTCATCGGAGGGCTGCAAGCAGAGGTGGATATGAACGTGGTTGCGTGGGAGCTGGCGTCTGAGGGCTGCTTTCTCGGACATGCCATTCATCCTACCAGTATTTACTGAGCACTCCCTGTGTGCCAGCTGGTATGCCAGGCTCTGGGGTCCCCCGTGATTGGCAGGCATGGTCCCTCGTGGAGCTGGCTGGCTAAGTTGGTGAGGCGTCCATCTCCCTGTCTGCTCTGGGCGGGGGGGGTCTTTCCTCTCCTCTCTCAAGGGTACCCATCTGCCCAGCTGCCCCATATTCATTGCATAGGACTTTCTGTCCAGTCCCTTGGGACCCAGGACTCCTGACCCTGCCTGCCCGGGCCTGACCAAAGTGCACCCTAACTCATGATTCGTGTCCTGAGGCAGGAGAGGGGAGGCGTACTTGAGATCAGCTGCCCCTTCTTACCTCCTTCTCACACCCCCTCAGCCCTCAAATGATTATCTGGAGCAATTAACCCCCTCGGAAACTCTGGGAAGCTACTTCCTGGCCATGTGCAGTGGGAGAGCAGGTGGCCTGGTGGCCCTGGGGAGAGACACGTGGGCACAGCTGGTTCATTAGTAAAGAAGCCTGACTTGGTGACCCAGGTCTTGTGAACCTCGTTTAGGACTGGGGGTTGGAGCCCTGCGTCTGAGAACGAGTGAGGAAGACCCAGCCCTGCCATTAGGGAGCCTCTGGTCCAGATGCCTTCGGCCCCTGCCTCCCGTCTCCTGGGAGGAGGACCCTGGGCTTGCGTTTGAATCCTCGCTCCGCCACTGGTGAGCTCAAGGACCTCGGACACACTTCTTTACGTCTGTGAACGTCTGCTTCTTTGTCAGTGCAATGTGGAAGCAGCAACACTCCACAAGCTGGTTGCAAAAGATTAAAGAGCTTGATGCCATCAAAGCGCCTGGTGGGCTGCCCTGGCACGTGGGCAGCTCCTCTCTAATACTCTGCAGTGGGCAGGCTCGCGTTCACAGACACGGTGGTGACGCTCTGGGCTCGGGGCGAGGTCTTCCTCTCCGTGGGCGAGAGGGCGCTGGCTTTGACCTTCAAGGGCTGAGTGCCTTCCCGGAGTCCCAGCTGCCAGCCAGCTCTAGCGCCTGCTGCTTCCCCCGCCCGTGGGCCTTCAGAGGCTGCCAGAGTCAGACCATCCTAGGGGCCCCACTACCCCCGATGGCTCCCCTGTGCCTCACTCTGCTCTTCCCACCAATGGGCACAGGCCCAGCTCTTCCCGGGGAGGGTTGAGGCCCGGGGGCCAGTTGTCCCAGGAAGCCCGAGCCCCTCGGGGAGCAGGATCAGAGGCGGGGAGGACACGCCTCATTAGACAGCGCCAGAGCCCCGTCCTGTCACCATGGCAGCCAGCCCTCCGAGGACCAGGTGGTTTTTATTACTGAACTTGGAAAACTTTACAGCGGCGCCAACAATGAATCTTTATTCTGTTGTTAATAGCGTGTCTCTTATTAGCATGTATCTTTTCCCCTTCTTAATAACCTTTGCATTTCCAAGCCGCATTTATAATTAAGTCATTAATCCCTTACTGGAATTTCTTGTTTTTCAGAAGCTGCAAACCAGAGGCCCCGTCTGGCTGGCGTGAATGGAAGGCCAAACGCTCCACCAAATTGCTCTGGGAATGTCATTCTAATTATTGGATCCTGACCCAGCGGCTTGCTGATAAGCTCCGGGTTGGAGACGCCCCATCTCGGAAGAGCTCAAAGCCCGCTTCTCCCCGCCACCCCCACCCCTGTGGCATCCCTGCCAAGCAATTAGCCCCGAGGCTGCCTGAGAGCTGATGGCTGGGAGGAGGGCCGAAGGGTCGGGATGTCTTCCCACTCCGCTCCCGCAAGAGGCAGCTCTAGCTCCTCGGGGTTTCCCTTCTCTGCCCCCCCCCTTCAGTGCAAGCCCTGTGTTCTACTCTGCGTAATGGGGAGCTTAGAGGACTCTACACCCTGGTTCTGGGCTCCTGTGATAGGCTGACTTATGTCCTCCCAAATTCCTATGTTCAAGTCCTAACCCCCAGGACCTCAGAGTGTGATCATATTTGAAAATGGGGTCTTGGGGATCCCTGGGTGGCGCAGCGGTTTGGCGCCTGCCTTTGGCCCAGGGCGCGATCCTGGAGACCCAGGATCGAATCCCACGTCGGGCTCCCAGTGCATGGAGCCTGCTTCTCCCTCTGCCTGTGTCTCTGCCTCTCTCTCTCTCTCTCTGTGTGACTATCATAAATAAATAAAAAAAGAAAAGAAAAGAAAATGGGGTCTTTAAAAAGACACCTAAGGAGTGCCTGGGTGACTCAGTCGGTTCAGCGCCTGCCTTCGGCTCAGGTCATGATCCCAGGGTCCTGGGATCGAGTCCCGCACCAGGCTCCTTGCTCAGCGGGGAGCCTGCTTCTCCCTCTGCCTCTGCCCCTCCCCCTGCTCATGTTCTCTCTCCCTCTCCCTCTCAAGTAAATAATGTCTTTAAAAAATAGGTAACTAGGGGGCACTTGATGGGATGAGCACTGGGTGATATGCTCTATGTTGGCAAATTGAGCTCCAATAAAAAAATAAATTTAAAAAAATAGGTAACTAAGCTAAAAATAAGTTTCCCAGGGTGCGGATCCAGTGCAACTGGTGTCCTTATAAGAGGAGGACACGAGGACACGGACACACACGGAAGGAAGGCCGTGCAAAGGCACAGGGAGAAGACGGCCATCTACAAGCAAGAAGAGAGCCTCAAAGCAACCAACCTGCGGACACTGGTGTGAGAAACAAAGGCAGAAGGGAATACAGATAAAATTAAATGTCCATATAACCTGCAGCCCGACAAACCATTGAGGCAGACAGAGCCTAATGTTCCTCCAGGAAGCTCCTGTCTTAATGTGAATGCCTTGCTAGAGGGCAAAACGACCTTGGTCTGCCAATAGCGAGGCCTCTGGTGTCCTGTGTCTTCTTTAGCATATGAGGTTCCTTTGGGAACTTCCCTTGTCTTTACTTCCCCCAACCCCAAATGATATAATATTTGCTCCCAAGAATCCTGGGGCGGCGGCACCTCCTTCTGCCCACAAGACCTGCCCCCACCCTTGCTTAAATAAAACCCCCATTTTTGCACTGAAGACGTCTCAAGAATTCTTTCCTGGCCATTGGCTCCGGACCCTACCAACCTCACTTATATTCAAAAAACGACATCAACACCTTGGTCTCCGCCTCCTAGTCTCTGGAGCTCTGAAGAAACACGCGTCTGCTAGTTCACCACCTGGTCTGTGGCTGGTTGGCGGCCCTGGCACCCTCCTCCGCGACCTGCCAGCTGTAACATGCTCTGGCCCTCCCCCTGACGGTCCTTCGGCCGCTCCCAGGGTCCAGGTGCGCGAAGACCAGGCTTCTCGGCGCCTCGCTCCAGCCTGTGCTAAGGAGGTAGGGCTCTGACACGAGTGTGAGGAGCAGAGAGGTTGCTCTTCTACAGTTTCCGGTAGCTCCTGGCCTCCAGGAAGGTTGGATTCTAGAAGTAGGGACTTGACTAGGGCGTCCACCTTAGACCTTGAAAGGGAGTCTAGGTCAGGGCCCTGTAGCAGAGTTGGGAACCATATGGCAGCTTCCCAGGGCCATTGGTACAGGTATGGGTTAGGGGCAGGAAGGGCCCAGCATTAGTCCCAGGGAGCCTGGCCAGTTTGAAGGGCAAGAGGATGGACAGACAGACCCTCAGAGACTCCTGGCCTAGGTCTCCTTTCTGCTGTCTCCTGGCTATCGCCTCCTCTCTGCCCTAATCCTAAATCAGTCCTCTTCACTTCTTCCTTATGACCCTTTGGTGACTGCGCATTGCTCTCTGTGTGATGACCAGCCATTGTCCAGTCTGACTCCTACCTACCCCCCCAGGGTCATTTCATGTACTCTTCCTTCCTGTCATGCTAACCTTCTCACTGTTCTTGTTATAACATGTTCTTACCCATCTCATTTATCTGTCCATCCATCCATCCATCCATCCATCCATCCATCCAACAAATACTCCGTGCCTGCCAGGTGAGTACCCTGCCCATGTTGGCAGCCTCACCCCTCAAGAGCTTGCAGTCCAGCAGGGGAGGGACCCGGGTCTGAGTCCCATCAGATGACACACATCTAAGATCACAAGCCGAGAAGTGCCATGAAGGGAAAAATCAGGGAGTGATGAGCAAGTAGGATGAGGAGACTCAGGGGTTGGTGTTGGGATGAGCCCATGAGGAGGGGGTATGTGGGCTGAGCCCTGGGTTGTGAGTAGGAGTTAGCTTGGAGGAGGAAAGGGAACAGTGTTTTCATCAAAAGGAATAGGGCCTGCAAAGCCCCTGAGGAGGAGGGGAGCTAGCAGGAGGTGAGGGAAGCATAGAGCCGTGGGGAGAGGGACAGGGTTGAGCCCAGAGAGACAGGCAGGAGTTTGGTGCTGGCCTGGGAGCTCCTGGAAGGTCAGGACGAGACATTTGCATTCCTAGGACAGTGTCCGCTCTGAACTACGGGCTAAGGGTCTGAGGAATACCTGAGGCTGTCGCTAGTCATCCTTTGCGTGGGAATGGCAGTTAGCACAGGGACTTCTGTCACACCTGACCAGTCCCACCAAACTGTCTCTACGGGGTGCTGTGAAGGTCACCTGTCTACTCCAGGCTTTTTTCCCCCTCTTTCCTTGCTAGTGTTTTGATAGATTTTCCTCCAGACACATAGGTATGTATGGGTCACTTAGATTTCTGTAAGCCACCACAGCCCAAGTAGTCTTTTTTTTTAAATCCCTAAATTTCTTTTTTTTTTATTTTAAAGATTTTATTTATTTATTCGTGAGACAGAGAGAGAGAGAGAGGCAGAGATATACAGACAGAGGAGAAGCAGGCTCCATGCAGGGAGCCTGATGTGGGATTCGATCCCAGGACTCCAGGATCACGCCCTGGGCCAAAGGCAGGCGCCAAACTGCTGAACCACCCAGGAATCCCTGGCCCAAGTAGCCCTATTGCTTCTTCTCTGTTTCTGCCCTGCCTGTCAATTCACATACACACACACACACACACACACACACACACACTTCTTAAGAGTCACATGGATGTGCCCCTATGTGCTCACAAACCAGGCCAACCTAAAACCAGAGCACAGCTGTTGTGTTCTCAAGCTGCCCTTTGTGATTCCCACATCTGAGACCACCATGGAGTGACAGGGTCTCACCACCCCACCTCTACCCTTCAGGGTGCCAAAGGGAGGCTGCAGCCAGTCAGCAACGGGGCTGCCACATGGCTTCCTGCCATTAAGACATTCAACATGACAGTTGGTCACCTGTGCATCTCATCAAAACAGCACGCAGCATCCCCCTGCCGCCCTCTTTCCTTTAGGCTTATCCGTGGAAGTGAGTCGGGGAGCCATATACTGAGGGCACACAATGATGGTTGCCCAGGGCCCACCCCTCTGGGTACCTCCCTCAAACCTTCATGCCAACCAGCACATGCAAATGTGCCCCTGGGAGCCCAATCCACAGGAGGACCAAGCATGCTTAGAAAGATCTGGATCGGGATCCCTGGGTGGCACAGCGGTTAGGCGCCTGCCTTAGGCCCAGGGCGTGATCCTGGAGACTCGGGATTGAATCCCACGTCGGGCTCCCAGTGCATGGAGCCTTCTTCTCCCTCTGCCTGTGTCTCTGCCTCTCTCTCTCTCTGTGACTATCATAAATAAATAAAAATAAAAAAAAGAAAGAAAGATCTGGATCCTCACACAGACATGACTCAGGTCCTGGCTTTACTCTAGCATACAGGTTGATTATTTCTTTATAGATTATAATCAGTGTGCATTCAATTTTGAGCACTGCCTTTGCACTCTACACTGTAAGCATGTCCATTTATCACGGTCTTCACAAGCATAATTCCTGACAGCCCCCGGATAGTCTCTTAGGTGAACACGCCACTTCACCTAAGCACTTCTTACAGTTGGACATTTCGCTCATTTTCAGATTGCCATTGTTACACGTGACATGGACGGAGCATCGCCAGATCCTGGGTGATTAGCATACATTTTCAGAAGAATGACCACCGTAAGAAGTATGAAAGACTTCGATCCATGGAGTCCAATTGCCATCCAGGTGGTTTGTAGCAGCTCCCCTGTCCTCAGCAGTTTATGTGGGTAAGCACCAGATCAGTAACTGTAAATGCTCTAGGGTCTGCCTGACTGGGTTACTTCTTAATAACACTGGGAATGATTCTTGAAGGTCAAGGTTTTATAAAAAGCAAGGGGCACTGGCTAAGTCCTGAATGCAGACCATAGGATCAACTGTGTAGAGTCTCTAACCAAACACTGAAGCATAAATATGTATCTAACAGGACGTTATATGTAGCCATTGCTACTGGGGGGTCTTGTGTTGATGGCAATCTCACCTCCTGGGTTAAGATAGGGTCTTGTGTTGATGGCAGTCTCACCTCCCCAGTTGAGATGGGGTCTTGTGTTGATGGCAATCTCACCTCCCGGCTTGCATGGGTGAGGAGCTAGGTAAGTAAGGACCCTCCAACTGCCCTGGATTGCCTGACATCCCAGGATCAGGGATCATCCCCTGCTTCTCCATGCCATATGGGGTGCTCATTCATGTGCATCGGGGCTGGAGAGTTCATGCTCTAGAAGCACACAAGACCCCCAGGGCAAGGGCAGGGTCTCTGTTCAGCTGCTCCTCCAAAGCTTTGCCTAGTTTTCACTGTTTGCTGCTGTGCAAACCCACTGCAGAAGCGGGAGGCATGGCCTTCTTCTGGTTTGGCGATTACGTCTCCTACAGGTGCCTGGGACCACATGGCCACCTTTTTCTCTTTGCATTTCAGTCATAGGAGGCTCTTAAAGACCTTCTCAGCTTTCAGTAGGAAGAGAAAATCTACCCCATGTATGTGATCCCCCTGAATTTACAACCTAAGCCACTTCCCCAGGTCATGTAAGCGAGCGCACCGCCCGCCCCCACCCTCCCCCTGCCCCATGCGGAAGCTACAGTTGAAATTGCACTTGAGCAGGTGCATGTGTAAGGAGAGAAGTTTCACCCTTTCATGCAACGCCTTTACCATGGATTAACTCAGGTTATTATGCACACACAGAGTTAACAAGAGGACCCTCACCGAGGGCCATTTGTCTTTTTGAACAGGACAATCTTTACGATTAATCACCTTTAACAACAAGAAGCAAAGCCACGATGGAAGAATGATAGGCAGAGATGAGTCTAGATCACTCAGCAGAGGCACATCTTATTTTGGGCCATTTTTTGGTTGTCCTTGAAGGTGATGGAAAAGTACAATTTCCTGTTTGGTTGATTGTATCAGAGACCACCGCTACGTGTCAGAGACTCAGAAACAAGCCGACAGTTTATTATAGTGATCAAGTCAGACCGGACTCAATCCTGGCTCTTCCGAGTGTAGCTGTGCAGCTTTGCCAGAATCACTCAACCTTTCTGGGCTTCTGTTGCCTCCTGCAGATCTGAGGTCACAGCAGTATTTATTTACCAACACTGTGAGAGTTAAATGAGAAAATTCATGTGAAGTGCTTAATGCAGTGCCTGGCATATAGTAGGAGCTTAATAATTGCTTGCTGTTACTCTAATTATGAACCCATCATTTTGAAAATCCCCTTCCTGGGGCTCCCACGGTAATTGGGTAATTGCATACCGTGTCCTGTGTCTGAGAGCTCACGGGGGACTTTCATCCCATTAACCCCTTGAATTATCACAATAATGGGGGAGGAAGTGGGGAAGGAGGGATCATCTTATGCTTCTACTCTCAGTACAGCCTTGTCATCCCTACAATGTGAACAGTTCCACCTCCCACCCTCCTTACAGGGCTGCAGCAAGAACCCCGAAAGGAGGAGGTCCATGTCCCAGGACACTACACACCACGGAACCATGCAAACAGAAGCTGTGTTACCATTTGAGTGGTCATTTGAGCCTGCGCCCTTGCAAAGCTAAATCCAGCCACAGAAGTGTCCCAGACACAGGCTGCCACCCTGTCTTCAACCTCGGACTTTCACTTACAGGCTGCGGGACAGGCCGGAACAAGAAGCACCGCAACCAGACCGCGTTTTGGGTTTACTCCTCTGTGACTTGACCTCTCTGAGACGCAGCTTCCTCCTCTGCTTTAAAATTGGTTGGTCCTATCTATCTCACAGAGTTGTTATAAAAATTCGGTGAAATAGTTTGGGTAAAATCCCCATTGACTCAACAAACATGGAGCATCCAGTCTGTGACAGGCATGACTAAAGGCAGCGGGAATAAGATGATGAACAGAGACGAGATTCCACTCTCCCAGAGCAGAGAAAATAGACCGGAACTGTGTATAATCAGGTGCTTTCTGCTGCCAGTAGCACAACATCTGACAAAATGTGACTCCAAACGGCGTCGACAAACCGGGTATCTAACATCTTACATATAATTATCCAAAGACAGCATCCCAGGGTTGGCTAACTCCCAGCTTCTCTGTGCAATCGAGGTTAATTTTTTCCATCTTTCTGCTCTGCTACCCTCAGCATACCGATGTTTGTCTCCAGGCTGGTGCCCTCATGGGCACAAGGTGGCTGCTGAAGCTCTGGGCTGACATCCTCTGACATCCTCAGGCAGCATTAGGAGAAGGCCAGCAAAGCATAGGACGCATCTTCATGTCTGCTTTTCTGTTTTTCTTTGAAGTGAAATTTGCATAACATAAAATCAGACATTTTAAAGTGTACAAGTCACAATGTTAGTACACTCACAATGTTGCCCTATATCAAGTTCCAAAACAGGGACGCCTGAGTGGCTCAGCAGTTGAGCATCTGCCTTCGGCTCAGGGGTCCCGGGATCGAGTCCAGCATTGGGTTCCCTGCATGGAGCCTGCTTCTCCCTCTGCCTGTGTCTCTGCCTCTCTCTGTGTGTCTCTCATGAATAAATAAATAAGATCCTTAAAAACAAAAATACCAAAACTGAAGCAAAACGAAAAGTTCCAAAACATGTTTACCGCCCTTAAAGAAAACCCTCGTGTTTGTTTTGAAGAAACCTTTTCCAGAAGCTCAAAAGATGTGCCCTCAAGTCTTATCAACTCTAATTGAGTCACTTGATCATGATTAAACCATCAACAGGAAGACTGAAATTCTTCCGCTTGGCTGATCAAAAGCCCCTCGAGTTCAGTTCAGCAACCCCTGAGGCACAGGACCAAGACCATGACCATAAGATTCCTGAAGGAAGGAAGGAATGCAATTGTCGGCATGGGGTGGAGCTCATAATAGATGCCCAATGTATGCTCTTCTTCTATCGGAATGAAAGTTGGATGAATGAGCAGATACACTCCAGCCTTTCCAATTTGCCAAAATGAAAAAATAAATAAATAAATAAATAAATAAATAAATAAATAAATAAATAAATAAAACCAAAACAGCCCCTCCAAGGGAATGTCCAATTAATTCTCAGTGCCCGGGAAAGGCATCTTTGGAATCAAAGAACAGCACACACTGTTTCAGAGGCGGCGAAGGAATCGGCATCTGGAGCCTGGATGCTTTGCCAGCCGCTCGTGAATTGCCCAATTATACTGCTTTTCTGATCTTTCTCACTACCCCAAACCGACTGCTCTTCTATTCTTTTTTAAAAATGTTACTCAGTAACAGTAGACCATATTATGCATTTTTGAGACACCTGTTTGCAATCACATTGCCTTTTATGGAACTATTTTGAAGCTTGTTTTCAGGAGCTACCTAGAAAGCCAAAACGGGGCCGCTAAACACCTGCACAAAATGTTCTTCCTGCTTCATGCTGGAGGACGTGCTTCCCCCTTTTCCTTGCATTATGGGGGCCTGGGAGAGTGGCGTGTCGCTCTTACCTATACAGTAGCACCTTCGATGCAGAGAACCTTCCAGATCATCCCTGCAGCTCCCACCAGGAGTGATGGCTAATGAAACTGGCACCTTCCCCGCAGTCTCTCCCAGAACCCCCCCGTTCAGGTGACATGGTAGGCCAGAGACTCCCATCACAGGCAGATGAAGGCAATACGTTGGTGAACTGGGGGCTGATGACTCATCCCCTGTCTCAGAGATCCTGGGTGTCATTTATTTAACAAATTCTGATGGGGCTCACGTATGGCCCAACATTGTGCTAGGCTCCAGACCTACCCAGGGCTGCGTGGACCCTGCCTCCTTGGAAAATAAAGCTCACGTTAATCAAAACACCTTCCAAAGACACAATTAAACCCTGTGGGAACTCTGTTTGCAGCACTGAGACTGGCCCCGTCCATTACCAGGAAAAAAAAAACAACAGCAGTGATCAGAATCTTATAGTCAGAAAACTCTAAATGCACATGGAGCCCAGACAAAGGAGCAAACCAGTCCTTTTTGCTCTTCTCTGGAGCTTTTCACGCTTTTCACATCCCTTCCAGCCTCCCTCCAGGGAAGTCAGGACCTCTCCTTCTCAAGGTATTTTGGATATTAATCTTTTGCTAGCATCTGGTTTGCAAATATCTCTATTTTCATAGCTGGATGGATATGGGATAAAGCACGTGCAGTAAAATATAAGTCAGAGGTCAACAAATTTTTTTTTTAAGGGACCAGGTAACAAATACTTTCTGCATTGCAAGCTCCATGTGCTCCACTATAGCTTCTCAGCTCTGGGTGTAACACTAAGGCAACCATAGATGATTCGTCAGTGGATGGGCCTATTTCCAATAAAATGTTGTTTATGGATGCTACAATCTGAATTTCATATAATTTTCACATGTCACAAAGTATCCTCCTTCAGATTTTTTTTTTCTTCAACCACTTAACAACATAAAAATCGTCCTCAGCTCGTGGGCCACACAAAAGTAAGAGACAGGCTGGACCTGGCCTGTGGGCCACAGTTTGCCCATCCCTAATTTACGGGGTGGGAACATGGGTATTCTTTAACTTTTGGAGATATTTGAAGTTTTCCACGTAGAATGGTGAGAAATGACCTTTCCTGAGTCAATGGTTTGTCTTTTCACTTTGTTTTGGGTATTGTTGTGGCTTTTAAATCAGTATAAACAGGGACATCTGGGTGGCTCAGTCGTTGAGCATCTGCCTTCGACTCAGGGTGTGATCCCGGGATACTGGAATCAAGTCCTGCATCAGGCTCCCCACACGGAGCCTGCTTCTCCCTCTTCCTGTGTCTCTGCCTCTCTCTGTGTCTCTCATGAATAAATAAATGAAATCTTTAAAAATAAATAAATAAATCAGTACAAGCAAAGTACTGAAGTATTTGTGACGAGTTCAATTTATTGACCTTTGAATGTTGGTGAGGTATCTTCCCCTGCCTGACATCACAAGATATTCCCCAGGGTTCTCTGTGTTGGGTTGGGTGGTGGGGGAGGCTTTCCCATATGTGTGTGGTGACAGGTCAGGACAGAACTATACCATTGCCATGAGCCCTTGGCTGTTGGTGCATCCTTCCCGCTGATTGGGAGTCCTTCTCAATCACCTTTGGAGCTTCCTTCATGGCAGGTGTGTTTGCAGCCGGGCCCACTGTCTCCTTTCCTTCCTGGGGAAACTTCTCTTTCTTCTTGCTCCTCTCCCCCGCCCCCTCCCCCTCCCCCCAGCCCCTCCACTTGGTCCCTGAGGGGCTACGATGGCTTCCTGGCTCTGGAGTGGTCCTCACCATCTACCTGGAGAGAGGCTCAGGTCTCTACTTCTCACATGTATTTCGGGGAAGGTTCTGGCTACACACACCTGTGGTAACATCCCCCGGATGCTTTAGGAAGCTGATATAGAGTCTGACTCCAGTTGGTCTTACCCCAGACCCCCTCCCCACCAGGGGCCAGGAGGAAAAATCAGAAGGGGGCTGAGGTTCTGACAAAAGGAAGTTCCCATCACCCCTTAGAAGGAAGCCAGTAGGGAGGCCCCACACTTCCCCATCATCCCCAGAAAGCTGTGGAGAAGACCCAGCTTCCAGCCCCAGGCTCCTCATCTGTGAAGGGGAGAGATGGGCCTGGGCTTCTCAGTTTTTAGACCCCACCACTGTTTATCTTTGACTGATTAATGCCTCCCTCCCCGTCTTCCAGCCGCTGACCTTGCTCCATGGCCCCCCAGTGGTTTCCAGCTTTCCTCTGGAGGTGCAAAGCCAAGCATGACGGGCCTCTCCCATGGTGATGGGGCTCCTCTCTGTTTCCCCGCCTCCCTCCCATGCATCTGTCCCCCCGAGTTCAGAGCCCCCTCTCCGCATCCATGCCCTGCTCCTTCATTTCTCCAACAGCTTCAGCTGACCTCCACTGATTAGAGACCCTCGGGGGGCACAGGCAGGGCCCTGTCATTGAAGCACCCTGTGGCCCCGAGAAGACCCTTTCCCGTTGGGGCCCCCTGTTTCTCTGCCCCTCTTCTGGTTCAGGGCCTGTCGGGTTCCAGGCCTCAAAGGGCCTTTGTCGTTACCCGGAGCTTGTAGCAGCCTCACTTGCATGGGACTCTTTGCTTCTAGACAAGCCGACTTCCTAAGGTCATCAGATATTGGGGGGGGGTGCGGGGGTTTCCTAGGGGAGTCTCACCCAGCCTCCTTCTGACGCTGCCACATTCCTTTTTGGCTTTCTCTCTAAATTAAAACAGGTGTCTTGGCCCCTGCGAACACTTTGGCAGAGTGTAGCAGCAGCACAATGAAGGAAGGCATCCACCTCCAAGGCCAGGGGGACACAGCTCATTATCCTGCTCCCTTGGCTCTTCCGTTTAATTAGGGGGCGGAGCTGCTGCTGCCAGCAGAGCCCTTCAGAGCTACGGGCTCCAGGGAACTCTACTCTTCACCTGCAGAAAGACTCCAGAAGGGGGAATCCATCACTGCTTCCTGACACCCCCCCCAGCTTACGGCTCCCACCCCCTTACGGTTCCTTTGGGGGCACCTGCCTGTGCCCACACTATCTCCCGGGGCATCCCTCATGTGGGAAGGCTGGCTTCTCCCCTGGAAGCCAGTGGAGGCGGAGGATTCGAGAGGATTTGAGCCTTAACACCCCCTCTTTCTCAGAGGCAGGAGTGAGGCTGGATGACACAGGAAATGGCTCAGTCAGACCCAGTATGGACCCAGAGAGGCAGCCCCCGTGGACGGCCTGGCCCAGAGCGGGGACAGGGAAGCCTGCTCCCAGGGTTTGTTTGTTTTTTTTTTTTTTCTTTAGGATTTTATTTGTTTACTCATGTGAGACACAGAGAAGCAGAGACCCAGGCAAAGGGAGAAGCAGGCTCCTGGCAGGGAGCCCGACGTGGGACTTGATCCCAGGACCCCGGGATCAGGCCCTGAGCCGAAGGCAGATGCTCAACCGCTGAGCCACCCAGGTGCCCCGGATTCAATATTTTCTAAAAGGCAGAACCTGGAGGAGCCCTTGAGGTATGATGAAGACCAGGGTTCAACTCCCTGCTTGGCAAATATCAGGAGGAAGGATGCTGGGTAAGTTGTCCAGGCCTCTGTTTTCCCATCTGTGAAATGGGCATCAGAAGAGTACCCACCAGAGAGGGCTTCTGCGAGGATTAAAAATGAGATGACGCACATGTAACAACATTATTTATCGTGATGTTAGCTCTGGTCTGTTCTGTCATAGTTTGTTGTTTCAATCGTATGTAAGTCCTGTATGAGGGACAATGAAAAAGGAACTTTTTAAAAAAGACCTTATCCATGTATTTACTTTGGAGAGAGAGAAAGAGAGAGAGCACAGGTAAGGGGAGGAGCAGAGGGAGAGGGACAAGCAGACTCCACGCTGAGCAGGGAGCCCTATGCGGGGCTCCATCCCACGACCCTGAGATCATGACCTGAGCCAAAGTCAAGAGTCTGACGCTTAACGGACTGAGCCACCCAGGTGTCCCTGAAAAGGAATACTTTTGAGATCAACGAGAGGGAAAAGAGTGGCGTGGCCTGGTGCAGGGACGGGAAGGCAGTGGATGGGCCCCAGGGGGTGAGCGTTCTCCCCCAGGCAAGACCCCAGACAGGGTGGCCCTGAGCAGACCCAGGAGGCCGGGCCCCCAGTCTGGACTGCCTGGCTGGCAGGGGCCCGCACCCTCCATGAGGCCCAGGAGCGGGGAGCGGGGGGCAGCCAGGGGGCTGCAGGTGCTGACCCAGCCCAGAATGTGGGGCTCCCCATGGCGGCCTGGCCTCCAGGGGCCCTGCTCCACTCTGGGCAGCCCGCAGACTCCAGCATCCCGGAGCTCCCGGGGGCGGGGGGTGGGGTAGGAACGCCCCACTGCCCGGGACCACAGGCTCTCGGCCGAGGACTTCAGACGGCGGAGATGCCAGTGCCAGGTAGTCGGCACCTAGCGGCGGTCTCGGCCTCAGACCACAGTGCCGAGGAGCAGGAGGTCAGCCGCCAGTCATGGGAGCTGTCCTCAGTTTCCCCTCTGTAAATTGGGGCTCGCCGCAGGGCCGTTGGGGGGTAAGGATGACACGGCACAGCGGGCGGTTGCGGCCGTCCTCTGGTTTTCTCCGGGTTTCATCCCGGTTTGCTCCCTCCGGCACAGGACGGTCCGAAGATGCAGGCTCTGCTGCCCTGACTCAGCGTTGCCGAGAGCCCTGCTGCCCCCCGGGGGCACCTCTTCCAGGCTATTCTACGGGGTGGCCCCAGTGAAGGTCAGCACACATCTTTGGGCCGCTGCCCACCTGCCCAAGGGGCAGAACGAGCGAGATGCAGGCTCAGGTTGTCTTCTAAGGTGGCCTTGGTTGGCCCTCTCGTTGGGCACAGGGGAAGGGGTTCGGAGGTGTTGCTCGCCTTCCTGGGGGGCTTCCTGTGCCTTTCCATATGGTCCTATCCTCGGTGCACAGAGGATGCGTGGGTCCTGGCCCGCAGGGTGCCAGGAGTCAGCCTCAGTGGGGGAGACACCTGGGGTGGCCGGGAGCCCCAGATGAGCAGCAGACAGCCTTGCAGGTGTGCACAGATGCTGAGCAGCCCAGAGGGCCCTTGGGTGATGCAGAGACACCAAACCCTTGGAACGTGTGTGCCACAAAGAGCTGGGAGTGTGGACGGGAGTGAGCATGGCAGTGGGGCAGGGCTGCGGGGGAGACACCAGGCAGGGGTCCTGAGGGTGGGAGCACAGAGGGAGGCAGGGCCAGCCCTGGGAAGCAGTCCTTGCTCTCTCCCGGCGCTATGTTCTGGGCCTCTCCCTGGCCCGGCTGGCACCGCTCAGTCTGCACCTTTTCTTAGAGCCAAGTCTTTGGCAGCGTCTTCTGTCCAAGGGCACTTCTCCAGGACTCACTCCCGGGCGGTCCTGCTCAGCCAGTGCCCAGCCTGGACTTGAGATTTCACAGACCGATGGCATCCAAAATGTAAACACAATAGCAAGTCAGCCTAAGAAGCCAGCAGCTTCCTTTGCCAAGTAAGGCCATTTTTTAAAACCCAGTTATTCCCATTATTCTATAAAATAGAGGGAGTTTTTTTTGTTTTTGTTTTACTAGCTTAACATTGGAAAAGACATAACCTTGGAGTCTTCCTTGACCACTTTTCTCACGTACCCACATCCAACGTGCCAGCAGGTCCCGGCTGCTCTGCGTAGAATAGACCCTGGTTTGGTCAGGTGTTCATTAAGAGAAAGAATGCTGAAAGAAAGAACGAAAATTAGGTATGAGAGGGATTATATCATTTAGGATAAGAAATCACAACAAATCACATATTTAAAAAGCTCACAAATACCACAATCATGACAAAATCCAGGGAAAAATAAAGAACACAATATTTAGCAGTTAACCGCCCGACGCGACTTTAAGATAGCTTTTTTCTCTATTTTGGACTATCTACTCTTTGATCGTTTCTTTACTGAGTCAACAACTCTGTGTTAGTATTTTCTGCAAGGAGAAGCAGGACAATTCTATCTTCCCTTTGGTATTGTTGACTTTTTTTAAAAAAAAATCAAAATCTGTACAATTTGTACCAATTCTACAATTTGTACAAAAAATGTATTTATTTATCTATGAGAGACACGGAGAGAGGCAAAGACACAGGCAGAGGGAGAAGCAGGCTCCACGCGGGGAGCCTGACGTGGGACTCGATCCCAGGGCCCAGGGATCACGCCCTGAGCCGAAGGCAGGCGCCAAACCTCTGCGCCACCCTGATGTCCTGGTATTATTGATTGAATTTTGCTTTTATTGAAGACTTAGAGGCCTTTCCTTCAGCTTCGTACACCATTGCTATTAGGTCATTTAGATTCTAAGGCTGTGGCCACAACTGGGAAAACCTCTATCAAATT